CCAGTGGAGCATATTGCTGTCTGATTACCATGAGTTTCACCTGCCCAATCTGAGCCTGGAGAAAAGAAACTATACGGTTAAGCAAACAGGGACCCACAGTTAGTAACAATATAAGAATGATCAAGGGTCCAGCTAGAGCTGATAGGAGTGTAGTTAACCAGGGGGACTGGGCAAACCAAGACTCAAACCACCCTTGTTGAGTTTTTCTCTCTTTCTGGCGCTCTTCAAGGCGTTTTCTTAGTTTACTCATGGATTCTTTTACAACTCCAGTATGGTCGGCATAAAAACAACATTCTTCCCTTAGGGCTACACAGAGGCCTCCTTCCCTCATAAAAAGAAGATCTAACCCTCGCCTATTCTGCAATACAACTTCAGAGAGTGAGGTTAAAGACTCCTGCAATGCTGTGATAGAAGTCTCTAATGTCTTCAAGTCCTGATCTATTGCTGTTTCTAACTGGGCCATTTGTTGTGACCCCCGGATCATGGCAGCGGTTCCTGTACTAACTCCTGCAACAGCTCCTATCCCCAACAGTAGGACCAGTGTGAGGGACACTGGTTCCCGACGGAAATGTGTTATTTGTCCCCCTACTAAGCCTTCAAATGATTCTGCATCATGAAAAAGCACCCTGGGGAGTACTTGCACCATTACACAATAGTTTACTGAGCTGTCAAACACCTGGACTGAAATGCAAGGAGTTAATCCTGAGTCACACGCCCACCAGGTTCCTTTCTCGGGGACTAGAAAACCCTGCGTGACATTAATTTTTCCTCTCTGGGTACATATATGCTGTTTACTTTGGGGGGGGGACCCTATACATAAACCTGCCCCAGTTACTTCTGGGAGAGTTAACTTTGGATTTTTACCCCAACTGCAAGTGGAACTCTGTGTCTTCACAGCGTAAGTCCCATTAACTGCTATTCCTTCATAGTAAGGGGGTGCGGCAGAGAGGCATAGCCAGCAGGATTGGGTGAGGTCTGGCTGTGTGGAGTTCAGCACCGAGAAGGTTCCTTTAATTAATTCCCAGGGGGAGGAGTCAGCTGTACTCTGTACTGGGGAAGTTGGCAAAGACGGATACCGGGAGGAATAGGATAGTAAAGGGGTTCCAGTAGTTCTAAGCAAAGGGGGTTTGGGAGGCTTAATTCCTGGCTTAAGGGGATTGGGCCCTATTGCTATGGGATTCTCTTCCTGCTTAAGTCTGATGGTGAACCAGAGACCAAAGTCATAGGTGGGGCCATAGACATAGAATCGCATTCCCCAGGTATTTCCCGTAAGCCATGTCGTCCTGAGGTAGCCCCTTGCTTTTGAGGTAAAAGTTATGTTAAGGGGGTTACACAGACTAGTTTTTCCACAGTGAGTGTTCGACACTCGGCTAGGTAAACAGTCCCTAGGGTGTATCCAGGTGTCATTTCGCCCTACCTGAATCATGCTGTCTGGGGAGTTTGGTTTCCACCATGCAGCTCCTGTTTGTTCACAACCCCAAGATTTGCAATAAAAGTCACTGGGCCCTCCACAGGTTCGGGCCTGTTTGCGACTTCGGAAATCAGCTGGGCACACATAATAATCAAGACTGGCTAGTCTACACCTATGATGTGGGCGATGACATCCATAATACATATGGTGTGGGGAATGTTGCCCTGGTTTGGGGTCAAACGGGATCTTCGTGGGGTCCTCTATGTCAGGGAGGTCCCAGTCAGAGAGGCCTATGGCCAGTTGACAAATGTCCGGATGAAGAGATGGCCACCAAGTCCATAAGGGAGCTACATTCGAAATAGACCATACTACTTGTCCAGTGGGATTTATAACTTGCCAATGTTGTTGAACAGGCTGATGGGGATTAGGGCTGCAGGCGGTCAGGGGAAGAATCCATAGCCCTACCCACACGACGGACACGCAGCTTGAGAGGGTTACCAGTCTGTTCCAGTTTCCAGCCGGAGTCCGGACAGGGCGCAGGCTTGAGATGGGAAGCATGGATCCAGGAAGCGATCCCATCTACTTTTACCGCTGTAGGTGTTATGAGCAGCACCTGGTATGGCCCTTTCCAGCGGGGTTCCAAGGATGACACCTGATGTCGTCTCACGTAGACGAAGTCTCCCACTTGATGTCGGTGTGGGATTTCCTTGTCTCCGGGCTGATAAGCAGTGGCCAGCCGTTTCCACAGGTATCGTTGGGTGTGTTCAAGGGCTTTAAGTCTGTTAAGCAAGGGGGTGTGAAAGGAATCATTAGGTCTCAGGGTTGGTGTCAGGTCCCTGATTGGAGGAGGGGCACCATAAAGAATTTCATAGGGAGTGAGGTTGCACAAAGAGACAGAGGGGGTATTTCTTGCACGGAACAGGGCATAAGGTAGGAGCATGGTCCAATCTTTTATGCCGGTCTCTAAGCTTAATTTTGTTAAGGTCTCTTTGATTGTTCTATTCATCCTTTCTACCTGTCCTGAACTCTGGGGTCTATAGGCACAATGTAACTTCCAATTAATCCCCAGGGTCCTGGCCAATCCCTGACTTACCTGGGCCACAAACGCCGGTCCGTTATCGGACCCTATTACCTTAGGCAGTCCAAATCTTGGAAAGATGTCTTCCAGAATCTTTTTGACCACCATCTGAGCCGTTTCTTTCTTCGTAGGGAAGGCTTCTACCCATCCTGAAAAAGTATCTACAAAGACTAGGAGATACTTAAGTCCATACCTTGCTGGCTTGATCTCAGTAAAGTCCACTTCCCAGAACTGTCCAGGTCTGGTCCCTCGCAAACGCTTTCCTATTGGAAGCTTGGATGGGTATGCATTAACTAACTGGCAGACTTGACAAGCTTTAGTCACCTGCTCAGCTATTTCTTTCCTCTGCGAGTCAGTCAACGATAAGTCCTTTCTTTTGTCCTTCAAGAGTGCCTGTAACTTCTTTGAGCCTAAATGGGTGAGCTGGTGTACATCTTTGACGTAGAGTTGAGCTTTTTGAAATGGTGAACTCGGCTCTGTGGGATCCCAGAGTTCAGTGTCTGTGTCCCCAGGCCATAAGTTGCCTGAATGTTCCTGTGCAGCCAGGTTTCCCGGTTGCTGTTCCCCCGACGTGGAAACAGTTAACAGGGTCACTCCTTTTAGGGCTGCCAACTTGGCTTCCTCATCTGCTCGTCTGTTTCCAACTGCCACAGGGTCATTCCCCTTCTGGTGCCCCTGGCAGTGCACTATAGCCAGTTCTTTAGGGCCTTTTACTGCCGAGAGAAGGTGGAGGATCTCATCTTTGTTCTTTATTTCCTTCCCGGCGGAGGTTAGTAGCCCCCTTTGCTGATAAATAGCCCCGTGCACGTGAGCAGTGGCGAAAGCATAGCGGCTATCAGTGTATATGGTGGCTCTTTTGCCCGATGCTAGCTCCAGCGCTTTCGTAAGGGCAATTAGTTCTGCTTTTTGAGCTGATGTTCCTTCTGGGAGGCTAGAGGACCAGATAACATTAGTTTTGCTAACTACTGCTGCTCCAGCCCGCCGCTTACCTTCCTGGAGGAAGCTGCTCCCGTCCGTAAACCATACGACCTCAGGGCGGGGCAATGGCTGATCCTTTAGGTCTCGGCGCACACTGGTCTCTTCTGCCAGTATGTGCTGACAATCATGAGCGACAGGTCCTGATGATTCTTCTGGCAGCAGTGTAGCTGGGTTAAGTGGAGCAGGAGGTCCCAGCGTTATTCTGTCTTTGTCAAGCAGGAGGCTGTGGTAATGAGTTATTCTGGAGTTTGACAACCACCTGTCTGGAGGCTGACGGATGATGCTTTCCAGGGCATGGGGGGCTATGATGGTTAGCTTTTGTCCCAACGTTAATTTATCAGCATCCTTTATTAGAAGGGCTGCCACTGCTATAGCCCTTAGACAATGGGGCCACCCGCTAGCCACTGGGTCCAGTTTCTTTGATAAGTATGCCACCGGCCTTTTCCAAGGTCCCAAAGTCTGAGTGAGCACTCCCCGTGCTATTCCTTTCTTTTCTTCGATGTAGAGAGTGAAGGGTTTTTCTACATCTGGGAGTGCCAAGGCCGGGGCAGATAACAGAGCCTTTTTGATATTATCAAAAGCCTGTTGGTGCTCAGGGGTCCATTGGAATTGGGCATCCCCCTTTATCAATGGGTATAGAGGGGCTGCCAAAGACGCAAACCCAGGAATCCATAACCTACAAAAGCCGGCAGTCCCAAGAAACTCTCTGAGCTGTCTCTTATCAGATGGGGGCGGTATCTGCACAACGGTTCGCTTTCTAGGCTCAGTAAGCCATCGTTTGCCGCCCCTAAGAGAATAACCCAGGAAGATTACTTCTTGTTGACAAATTTGGGCCTTTTTGGCAGAAGCCCTATATCCGAGCTGAGCGAGCTCGGATAATAGCGCTCGGGTCCCAGACTCACAGTTCTCCTTGGTGTTGGCTGCCAGCAGCAAGTCATCCACGTATTGGAGTAGGGTGACTTCGGGGTGTGCAGTTCTGAAGTCGTTGAGGTCCCTGTGGAGAGCTTCATCAAAGAGAGTGGGAGAGTTTTTGAACCCCTGTGGGAGTCTAGTCCAGGTTAGTTGGCCAGATGTTCCTATCTCTGGATCTATCCATTCAAAAGCAAACAGCAACTGACTGTCCTTATGCAGGGGCAAACAGAAGAAAGCATCTTTTAAGTCCAGCACAGTGTACCATATCCGCTCCGGATTCAGGGTGCTAAGCAAATTGTATGGATTAGGGACTGTGGGGTGAATATCCTGTACTCTGTTGTTGATCTCTCTCAGGTCTTGAACAGGGCGGTAGTCCCCAGTTCCTGGCTTCCTTACTGGTAACAGGGGGGTATTCCAGGCCGATTGGCAGGGCCTTAGGACCCCCAGAGCCAGATATTTCTGAATATGGGGTCTTATCCCATCCCTAGCTTCTTTGCTCAGAGGATATTGCTTAACACTGATTGGAGAGGCAGAGGCTTTTAATTCTATTACTATTGGAGGTTGTTTTACCGCCAGACCTAACCCAGCAGTTTCTGCCCAGGCGTCAGGATAATCCTTTATCCATCTCTGGGGTAGTCTACCTGTTTGATCAGTCCCAGAGGCTGTGAAGAGTTGGTATTCATCTTCTACTGACATAGTCAGAGCCGTGGCTATAGGGGCCTTCACTGCAGGGTTTAGAAACTCCACTTGGGGGCCATCAGGGTCAAAAGTTATTTTAGCCCGAAGCTTGGTGAGTAGGTCCCTGCCCATCAATGGGGCCGGGCATTCTGGGATCACTAGGAAAGAGTGGTGGACTTTTCCCCTTCCTAGGTCCATAGTCCTCTTTGTTGTCCAAGCCCGATATTTACTGCCATTAGCCCCTTGAACTAAGGACCTTTTATTAGATAGAGGGCCCAGTGGGGCCTTGAGGGCTGAATATACTGCTCCTGTATCTACCTCGAAGTTCACTGGGGTCCCCTCCACTTCAAAAGTTACCCTGAGCTCGGGGAGGGGATCCGAGCCCCGACTTTCCTAGTCATCTTCTAGAGTCAGCATGGCAGGCCGGCGTGACTGCTTCTTTTTGGGGCACTCTTTGGCCCAGTGTCCTTTTTCTTTACAGTAGGCACATTGATCTGAGGCCAGGGGCGGCCTTTGGCGTGGGCCCAGGTATCCCTTTCTGTCTCCCTGCCTTCCAACTTCTGGCCTATCTGTGGCTGTGACCAGGACCTTAGCCAATGTTTTAGTCTGCCTTATGTTTCTCTCATCCTCCCTGTGTTCCCTTTCCTTCTCCCTCCTCTGTTCCTTTTCTTCCTCAGTTTCTCTCTTATAATATACTTTCTCAGCCTCTCTGACTAAATCTCTTAAGGTCATCTCTTGTAGTCCATCTAAACGTTGTAACTTTCTCTTAATATCCAGGGCAGCCTGCCCAATAAAAGCCATGGCAACAGATGCCTTTTGGTCCTCTGCCTGAGGATCAAAGGGAGTATATCTTCTATATGCTTCCATAATCCTTTCCAGAAACATGGAGGGGGATTCATTGGGTCCCTGAATTATCTCTCTTACCTTGGCCAAATTAGTTGGCCGCCTAGCAGCCGCTCGGAGACCCGCTACAAGAGCCCGGCGATAGGTGGACAGATGCTCCCTACCTTCAAAGGTGTTAGGGTCCCAATTGGGTCGGTTTAAGGGGAAGCCAGCTTCGATGATGTTAGGAAGTTGGGTTGGTCTCCCATCTGGTCCAAGAATATTCTTTCTGGCTTCCATGAGGATTCTCTCTCGTTCCTCTGTTGTGAAGAGAGTCCCCAAAAGCTGCTGGCAGTCATCCCAAGTGGGCTGGTGTGAGAACATCAGCGACTCAACTAGACCTGTAAGCCGGGTGGGGTCCTCAGAAAAAGGGGGATTGTTATTTTTCCAGTTATAAAGATCTGAGGAAGAGAAAGGCCAATATTGGTAAGCTTGCATCTCTCCCCCGTGCCCATCATCTATTGTGGGCCCATAGGGACGAAGAGGAAGCATCACCGGCGCTTCCAAGTGTTCCATTATTCTCCGCCTGCGGGTTCCTTTAGCTGGCCCAGCCTCCTCCAGTGGGGGAGGGGCTGCCGCTGCCGCCGCTGCTGCCGCTGCTGCCGCTGGCGCTGGTGCTGGAAAGTCCCCGGGCGGGCTCGGATCTGATCCCATTACCTCTAACTGAGGGGTGATCAAGTCAGCGGCAGGAGGGGCCCTGGGGGCAAATTGAGGATTTGGGAGCATGGGTAAAGGATAAGGAGGGGGGGTGGAGTCCAGTAAAGTTAAATCCTGCGACTCAGGGAGAACGAAGGGACGAGGGGGAAGAGCAGGAGATTTGAGGGATAGGATGGAAGGGGAAGATACTGGAACAGATGCGGGAATAAGAAAAGGTTTGATCCACATAGGAGGAAACTCGCAGAGGTCTTGCCAGGTTAAAATATATGGCTGTTGATCTGGATGGCCACGTGGCCCCGGCTGAAAGACAGAATCTCTGACTTTACAGATTAAAGGGAGATGGAAGGACCCTTCTGGAGGCCACTCAACTCCGAGGGTGGGCCATTCTGAGGCGCAGAGTGTCCGCCAGGTCCTGCGATTCACTGAAAAAGAGAGATTCCGGGCCCTTGAATGGACATCCGTCCAATGATCTAGGGTCAGGGACAGAGGTGTGGAATGGCTTTGTCCCATACTGAGAGTTACTTGAACGAAAACAGAGACAAGACGATACAAACAAAACACAACGAGATGCAGTCACAGACACACAGTAAAGCGTTTAACACAAATTCAGAGGCAAAAACTAAAGACAGACAGCGAGTTCAGCCTAAGAAAAACAAGAAAATTGCCGGCAGAACCAGACGGGTTGGCAGCACCGATGGGGGTGTTTTCACCCCCCCAGACGAGGGACCTCTGTCCCTCTGGGGATCGTGGCCCGTGACTCCAAAGACACGTCCGTCACAGCCAGCCACAGCCAGGGATAACTCACGTTTTCCACTGGGAACCACACACTACCAACCCAAAACCAGAAAGGCTCTGAGACCTCACGGTCCCTGGA